ACTGGGCGTCTAACGTTACTAATGTTCATACAGCTCTGACTGTTTAGCGAATCAAGTCATGAATGGGTCGAAATGAAAGCTGAGAAAATTAGACTTTGATTGCTTTATGTCTTCACTGAAATTGGTAAAAAAAATAAAATAAAAAAAAAGTCATTGACGTGTTTAAAATATTTTGATATAGGCTACTTTTTGGATCCCATGTTACCATTTATGCAACACTTTGTTTTGTAATATTGTATGCTATATTTGTTTGTTACTCATTTTTTAATAAATAAAAGGTAATAATAAAAAAATGCATTGATTGTGTAAGCTGTTACGTTATATATTATAGGTAGTAACCTTAATAGCTGCTAATAGCTCTAGTGTTCTATAGCTATATATAACAAAAAAACCTCTAATGTGACTTTGTTTTTGTTAAGGGCAAGGTGTGCAAGGAGACGTGTCCCAGGCAGTGTTCAAGCCTAACAGAACAAAGAAAACTCCAGCTCTTCACAGAGTTTTATGCTGTCTCTTATGAGAGGCAGCAGGCTATCATTCTCTCTGGTTTGGAGCAGGTAGGCTAACTTAAGCAATTCATGACCATATCATGTCAACAGTATGCAATGCATCACAATGTAGGCCCATGAAATAACCAGTGAATTGAATACTACTGTATGCCTTCAATTCACTAAGACTGCACATGTGCCTGATCACTGTAAATGTTAAATTTTGTGAGGATGGATGAAGGATGATCAGCATCAAGTAGGCCACCAAGTGCATTACAGTCAGACCACAGCGCTTTGGTGCCCTAAAATGCTTATTCATTCTCCTAACCAAAGCCTACTCACGTACTTAATGACCTTAACCTGACAGCTCTACAATACGGCTAGCCTGCTACGCTATGGTAAATGTCTTTTTACTTCATGTCTTTTTACTTCTAGCACAAGGTGAGTCGCAGACGACCACGTGGGCCTGACACTGAGATTACTAAGAGGAAGTACACCTTCAAGTACCATGTGCAACAAGGAGGCCAAAGACTTGCTGTTTGTAAACTCACATTTATGTCAGTCTTTCAACTGACCAACAGTCGCCTACAGGCAAGTTTTATATAGCCTAGCCTTTTCCGTTTGTTAACTTTTTATTACATGCATGATTTTAATTAGATACATTGTCCATAACATATTTATTTAAAGTTACTTATCTTTGAAAAGGTTATTCAAGAAAAGTTAGGCAGTCAGTCTGAGGGAACAGAGCAGGTAGCTAAAGTCAGGTCTCCATTAGAGGACTTCAGAGGAAAACATAAGAACAGGTAAGTAAAAAAAAAAACAAATCTTGAAGGACCTCATGCTCTCGTCCTGTTAGTTTTTAAAGCTGCACCATTGTCACACCTACAACATTCCCTGGTCTAATGGTGGACTGGACGCTGGCATTATAGAGCGTTGGGTGCCTTGCCACCCTATAACGCCAGTGTGCACATACCGTAATGGTTAGGATTCAGCTCACTGTTGTTGCCCAGTCAGGAAACATATTTTTGCACTTTGAAATCGATATTAGAGATAAAGTGCAATGCAAATGTAATGTATGATTATTCTTTGTATCATTACAACATGTGGATCTTAAAGAGATATTCAGCTCTGGAAAGATTAATGTGTATTTAAAATGGGTCATTTATGTAGTAGAAATGTGAAATTATTTTTGAATGGAGCCTTCTAAAAGCCAGAAAATGTATTTTTGATTTATGGGGATGAAAGACAACAACTCCCAGATTGCAATGCTAAAATGCACACATCAATCAATCACATGTTTAGCATCCATGTAAACACTACATTCAGATTCACAAATCGGAATAAATTCAGTTAGATTGAAACAAAAGATGTGCATGTAAACAATGACAATTTTTGCGTCATCGGAGGATTTTTTCCAGACAAAAAATACATAAATCTCTCATCTCAGAGGGATATGAGGGAGAAAAGCATGGTAATTCGAAAATACTAAAAAGAATTCGGTTTTCTAATGATACAAAGCTTAATGCTAAATCTTGAAGTATCCCTTTAATGACTGTATGTGAAAAACAAAATCCTATAGTTTAGAGGAATGTTTATAATTATACATTTATGGTAACAGAAACAATGCAATTGTGCAAAACAGACCAGCATAGTTTATTATATTTCCCTTGTTCATGAGTTGTGGTGTTTATTTTTTAGGCCTCATAGCATTCATCCTGCAGTGAGAGAGGGGATACGAGAGCATATCTTGAGCTTCCCACGCCAACCGAACCACTACTCACGAATGAAGGGAGATGTGGAGAGGGAGTACCTGAGCCCTGATTTAAACCTGCTCCGCATGTTCCGCCTGTACAAGGAACACAATCCAACATCCACTGCAAAGTTCTGGCTCTATAGGGACATCTTCAAGCAGCAGAACCTCAGTTTTGGGCAGCCAAGAAGTGACACTTGTGCGAAATGTGACGCCCTGTTTTTAAAATTAACAGCTGCTACAACAGAAGGAGAAAGGTTGAAGATCGCAGCCGAGAGTGAGCTTCACCACCGGAAAGCTGAAAAAGCGTACACCCAGTTGCAGGCTGACATAGAGTGGGCCAAAGCCAATGATGACTGCCATGTCATTTGTATCGACATGCAGGGGGTAGTGTTCACGCCAAACCTGACACACTCCAACGTGTACTATCAACGGCAGCTGGCCAACTACAACCTCTGTATCCAGGAGATGGGCACTGACGATCCTCCTACAATGTGCCTCTGGCATGAGGGCATCGCTCACAGAGGTTCCATCGAGGTGGCAAGCTGTCTTTTGAAGTGGGCAGAAACATCTTTTGCTCCCCTAGTCCAGCCAAAGGAACGGAAGCTCGTCATCTATAGTGACCGATGCTGTGGGCAGAACAACAACTGGCGAGTCCTAAACCTCATGGCCCTGCTCGTATCTAGAAGGTACTTCAGTCAGATAGAGCAGAAGTTCATGGTGTCTGGTCACTCCTTCCTTCCCTGTGACCGTTCCTTTGCCACGCTGGACAAGAGGCGTAAGGTGTCCACACTCCACACCCCCAGCGATGTCGCCGAGATGATCCGTAGAGCCAGGCAGCAGCATCCATTCAAAGTCATTGAGATGAAATGTCCGGACTTCAGGCAGCTCCCTGATGCAACATTAAAGCGTCCACCTGGCTTGCTAATCACATCCATGATGTGGTTGAAAGTGACAGGTAAAAAACAAAAGAGTAGGTCTTCTGAGATTAACAGTGTTGGGGATATGTGCGTGAAAGAAGAATCTTTATTGAATTTCTTGTTGAATCATGATTTCAGCTGCTGATCCATGGTGTGTCCACACAAAAGGGAGCCACAGCCTCTACGAGGGATGGAAGACCTGGCTGATCACCAAACAGAGGAAGAATCAACCACCTCCAGCTCCCTTGTTCTCCACCACGTATGCTCGTGCTTATGAGGACCCTCTGCCCGTCAAGAAGGAGAAGCACCGGGATCTTATGAAAATGCTAGCCTACATGCCAGCGGAGGCCCAAGCATTTTATGGGGCATTAGAATGCGAAGAGTAGCCTGGTATGTGTAGGTCATGTGCAGGGTAAGGTGGGGTATATTGTGTATATTGTGTAAAATTAATCATAATAGTAGTTGTAGTTTATCTTGTATGCCTTATATTATGTTGTATAATAGGAATATATAGTTATTTATTTAGTAAATGAATGAATGGGGTGATTTATGAAATGTATTATAAAATGGTAAACTAGCATATGGAACCATAGCAAGGAATGATGATGATGTATGTGTGTATTGTAAATATGTATTGTTTACAGTTATTACTGTTGTTTATTGTTTGTATGTATTGTTGATTGTATGTACGGTTTATTGTTTGTAATGACGTTTATTTTCTGTACTATAAGTAGGCCTATGTATTGTTCATTGTTCGTACTGTATTGTCTGTGTTTTTGTTCTGTGATTTATGTTGGTAAAAAAATAAAAGAAATTGAAAGAAAGAAATGTTTAATATTTTCTTTAAGGTTCTGTTACTGTATTAAAACTAAGATAAAGGAATCAAATCTCCAGTGGTTTAAGTGATATGATGAATTGGACTTATACTGTTATTCCACATTAACTGGACTTATACTGTTCTTCCACATTCCAGAAATGTAAATTACTCTAACTTTTTATTTTTAAGATTGATACTAAAAAATCTTATCTCATTAGAATTGTGAAACTTTTGTTGTCTATCTTCAAGTAAAAAAAAAAAAATATATATAATATTCAGAGTCCAAATTAAAAAAATGTCATTATTCAAAATTTGAAAATATGGACTTATATGGTTCTTCGTCTCAAGCCCTCATTTAATAAATCAAAGCGTTTCAATCTTCTGTTTATTCAGCTACAGATAGTATGATGCCCATAGGGGTTTCCTGGAATGATGTGTGTTATCGTTCTTCTGCGGTGGGGAATATTTAGTGGTGTGTGTGTGTGTGTGAGTGAGTGAGACGCCCTCTGGCTTTCAGATCGAGCAGCATTTACTACCGATCACAGAGCCGTACTTCACTGACAAACTGTGCATAAAATAATCTCAGCCTTTACCAGATCGCGTGCGGTTTCATTTCGATCAGTCGTGCAGCTCTAATATCAAACTAACCATCAAACACTTCAGGTTTGGCCTAAGATCAGAGGAAACTTTTACGATGTGCAAATTTAGTCTCAGACGGCCAAAATCACACAGTGTGCAGTCGTCTTAACAGTAAAACTGACCTATGTAGTGAATAGTGTCATTTATTAAAGCAGATTTTGCATAAGAATTAATTTTGATATAGTGCAAATAAGAGATTATTTTTCCTGATTGAATGATACTTTAGTTTTTTATTATCATGTTTTGCGACTTTTAGATCTCAATCAAATGTACCATCAAACGTATGAATTTGTGCTTTAAGTTTGAACTTTCTCTTTAATAATGGATTCTCTGCTAAACTGATCTGATCTGAACTGAGAGAGTGAAGTGTGTGTCATTGTTCTCTACAGGTTGAGGTATTGTGGCGTCACAGATGAAGGTTTTGCTGCTCTGACTTCAGCTCTGAGATCAAACCCTGAACACCTGAGAGAACTGAATCTGTCTGAGAATAAAATAGGAAAATCAGTGAATCTGCTGTCTGATGTACTACAGAATCCTCACTGTAAACTGGAGATACTGTGGTAAGATCATATTTGACTCTCACACATGAATCACAATGTAAAGTATATTTGAAGTGTTCAGCCTCTTTCTGCTGCTGTGAGTTCAGATTATTGAGCTGTAAATGATTGAACACACGAGCTGATCCTCAATAACATGAAACTGCAGGACTGCGAGTCACACTGAAATACACACTTTCACACACAATCAACATTTCAGTCTCTTGACTTTAAACAGACTCGAGCTCAACGCCGTCAGAACTGAGAAATGAAGAACATGCTGGATTCATTCTTACTGTTAATTATGTTCATCTTTCTGCATTGACTCTTTAGAAAGTATCGTTTTTAATTTTGTAAAATGAAAACACACACACACACTAATTGACACTCCATGCATATTACATAGTACAGATCTAAGTAACAGTACAACTGACCTATGTAGTGAATAGTGTCATTTATTAACCCTCTGGGGTTGTTCGGCCCAAATGGACCCGAAGCATTCAAATAATTTTTTTTTTTTTAAATCACAGCTTCCTCGTAATGGTCCGAAATTTGGTGACTTTGTTGGTATTTGGTATATGAACACCCAAAAAAATTAGGGGGCAGGATGTGAATAGTCTAAGTGGTTGTAAAAAAATTAGTCACACTCAGGATGTTCGGGTCCAAATGGACCCCCATAGGAAATGAATGGAAAATTGGTAAAAATGTGAAAATACAGAGTTTTTTTGTGCGTACAATCTACAAATCAGCCATGATCCAGAAAAAAAAGCACACAACAGTGAAGGGGTGAATCTATAAAACATCAAGAGTGCAAAACAGACACATCCACACACACAAACACACTTTTATACACAAAAACACCAAAAAATTCAGATTATACATGTGTTTTGCATTTTTTAAATGCTCAGTGTGTCCAGCAGATGGCATCCATCTCATTTCAAAAATTGTTTTCATGAGGCCTAGGCTTGACTCTAAAATGAAATACAGCTTTTAAAAAAAAATATATAGATATATATATATATTTGTTATTACATTCAATGGGGGGGAAATTGGTCATAATTACTGCATTAATCTTAATTATAAATTCTTTTTAGTTTTGAAATTTTCTCAAAACACCAAAAAAGAAAAGAAAAAATATTATAAAAAACAAGTAAAAAAAAAAAAAAATTTTTTTTTTTTTTTATAAATACGAATCCCGCCCTTTGGGTCCATTTGGACCCGAACAACCCAAGTGTGACTGTAAAACGAACAACCCCAGAGGGTTAAAGCAGATTTTGCACAAGACTGAATTTTGATATAGTGCAAATAAGAGATTATTTTTCCTGATTGAATGATACTTGTTGTATGATCATGTTTTGTGACATTTTAGATCTCTATCTAATGATCCCTCAAACATATTAATTTGTGCTTTAAGTTTGAACTTTCTCTTTAATAATGTATTCTCTGCTAAACTGATCTGATCTGAACTGAGAGAGTGAAGTGTGTGTCGTTGTTCTCTACAGGTTGAGGGATTGTGGCGTCACAGATGAAGGTTTTGCTGCTCTGACTTCAGCTCTGAGATCAAACCCTGAACACCTGAGAGAACTGAATCTGTCTGGGAATAATATTGGATATTCAGGAGTGAAGTTGCTCTCTAAACTGAAGGATGATCCACATTATAAACTGGAGATATTATACTACTGTGAGTAGATTTTCTCCAAGTCTTTAAATTGACCCAATTTCAGTAACAGGTCTCATATGTGTGAAACTGGAGAATATAAGATAATAATTCAGCTCCACTTTAGTCTCTGTAAACTGTTTTTAATAAGAGTTTAATTCTGTGATGTGAATATGATCTATGAATAGGCTAGGTCTATATGAATATTTTCATCCCTTACATGTTTACATGCACAACTTTTGTTTCAATTGGAATTAATTCATTCGATTGATGAATCCAAGCGTAGTGTTTACATGAACGATACATAAAGTGATCGGGTTGATGTGTGTGTTTATATGTCACAAGGTTCAAATTGAGTTTTTGACATACACACACTGCACGAATATTTCCCACTGTTTGCACATACTATTCTCCTACTTTGTTTGTTTTAAACAGCAGACTTAATATTAATATATTACGGGTAAGGTCCTAATTAGGAGACGATGAGCACATGAACCGTTGTGCCGCGCTGCTTATATTTATCACACAGTAAAAACACCCGTACCTGCACCCGAAACAGCCTGTGGATGAGAGTCTGAGAGAAGGACTGAAGGCCGTGAGATTGTGTTGGTCATTCATGACACTTCATTCAACAACTACAACAGCTCGTACGCATCACACGTCATTACGCCATTGCACACACACAGAACTTTCCAGTTTGGGTTTTCAATCTGATCAAGTGTTTACATGTCCTCTCGATCAGATTAGAGAAGGAATAAAACACCCAATCCGATCGACATTTCATTCAGATCGAGCTCATTCGATTAAGGAGTTTACATGAAGACTTTTCAGTCCGAGCCGTCAATCTGATTTACTAACAGATTATTTGTTTGCATGTAAACGTGGTGTGTGTGTGTGTGTGTGTGTGTGTGATGAAGTGAGAGTTGTTTATCACTTGCTGTTCTTAATCTTTTCCAGTTTTTCATTAATATCTCTGGCTGTAATTTGAATATACTAATATCTCTGGCTGTAATATGAATATACTAATATCTCTGGCTGTTTTCTTGAAATGATCTCCAGATGTGATGTGACTCAGTAATGTCTCATACTCATATGTGTGTGTCTGTGTGTTTTATTGTAGGACTCTGTGTTTAGACGTCAGTTCAGTTTCCTCAGGATCAGCTGATGGTGAATAAAGAGCCGCTACAGAGACTGAAGACACAGAAACACACAGCGATCACACTGACGTGTGTGTGTGACTTCACACCACTTTCTTGTTTTATAATAGTAATGGCTCATGAAAATGAGTGCTGAAAATAGCAGCTTTGAATTGTTTCAAGTTTATTAGATATTGATTACAATGTAGAAGGTGAAACACTCAAAATACGTGTCAAACGGTTAAAGTGAAAACAAGCCTTAGACAATAGATTTATTGTGCAATACAGACAGCGCTGGGAAAAGTGTTATAAGTTTTATCAAGAGTCTGTCTACAGAAGAGATGTTGTAAATTATACCAACGAGGAAGACAAAGATTATGCAAATAATTTCACTGAACATTTATTTCTGTCAAATATGTTTTTTATTATTAATCTATTTTTTTATATGATGATCTATTAATGTTTCCAAATAAATCTTCACATTCTTTTACTGGTTTCTTGTTTTTTTCCCCTCCTGTCTCTAAACACAGTTAATTACTAATTGCAATGTTAATTTCTGTCATATTCCTCTTGATGGCAAGTTTTTCTCAAACCAACAACTAAAAACAGTGATATGAGAGCGGGCAGCGATTAGATCCAGAAATCCATCCAGAGGGTGAGTGTGTGTTACACTAATCTAGTTACAAAGTTTATTCATGATCGAAAGTGTTACTTATTATTTTGTATATCGCGTTATCTATTATTTACCTTCTTACTCTTACATTTCAATGGCCAAACGAGAGCATGCATGGCTCTGTTTCTGTAAGAAACACAACAGAGTCAGAAATATGCAGTGTTGTTAATAGAAGTATATAAGCTTGCTTTGTAGAATATCATGTGTGTGTTATTGTGAACTGGCCAGCACTGCATATAGAGCTCAATGAATTATGTGCTATCCTCCTTAATAATAAAAGATCATCAAACATTTAATGTATAAAAGATCATGCATTTGTAAAGGAAAATGTCACATCATTTAATTTAATTTGTTTGCCTTATTTTTTTTACTTGAAGCATTAACTTTAAAATAATTTAGATTGTATATTTTTATATTAATTATTATTATTAAATAATAATAATAAATATATTAAACTGATATTTGTGATCACATGCCACGCTGACACTGCTTGACAAACATGCATATAATGTATGTTAATATTATTTTAAGTGTTACCCAAGTTTACACCTAATTATAATAGAGCTTTTTCTTGAACTTTTAAATGAACAATTTACAGAAAATCCTTGAAACATTGTTTTACATGGTTTTTTCTCCGTCGTTCAGTTTCAGTTACACTGATTCAAGAAAAATGTATTCATGAAAAGAAAAAGAAAAAAATAATTTAATAAGAACAATAATGTAAAAAATGTATTAACAATAATTTAGGCTACCACTGCCACTAATAATGATTATATCATTTACAAACGTTAAAATAATTGATTGAATAGAATCACGTGTAACATTATTAAGTGTTTAAAAGTGTTAAATAATTTCAATCATGACAACTCTTGGATAGTTTTAGCATGTAATTATGGTAATGTTAATGTATTTGGTCTGGCTGGATTAGATCTGCTACACTGCTGTTGATTATTACTGTTACAGAGCAAGTATGGACTCGCTACTGCTAATAGATACACAGATCATGTAAGATATGCTGTTGCTGCATAAATAATATACATAAATCCTGTAGCAGATCTAGACAGGTGGAGCTGGGGAGGAGGATATCTCTTCTTCCATTTGTCGCGAAAACACTTGAACGAGTTGTTTTCAACCAGATCTCCTCCTTTCTTACACAGAACAACCTCCTGGACGACAATCAGTCTGGTTTCAAAAGTGGACACTCAACTGAGACTGCCCTGCTCTCAGTAATTGAAGCTCTGAGACTGGCAAGAGCAGCTTCCAAATCCTCAGTCCTCATCCTGCTGGATCTGTCTGCTGCTTTTGACACAGTTAACCACCAGATCCTCCTGTCAATCCTAAAGATGAAGGGCATCTCGGGAACTGCACTCCAATGGTTTGAGTCTTACCTCTCAGGTAGGTCCTTTAGGGTGTCGTGGAGAGGTGTGGCATCTAAGACCCAACATCTAGCTACTGGGGTGCCTCAGGGCTCAGTGCTTGGACCACTCCTCTTCTCCATCTACATGACATCACTAGGATCTGTGATTCAGAAACATGGCTTTTCCTATCATTGCTACGCTGATGACACGCAACTCTACCTCTCATTCCAGCCTGACGATCCGACGGTAGCTGCTCGTATCTCAGCCTGCCTGACAGACATTTCTGGCTGGATGAAGGACCACCATCTTCAACTAAACATTGCGAAGACAGAGCTACTTGTGGTCCCGGCCAACCCAACACTTCATCACAACTTCTCCATTCAGCTAGGCTCGTCATCCATAACTCCATCAAGGTCAGCTAAGAACCTTGGGGTTGTAATTGATGATCAGTTGAAATTCACAGACCACATTGCTAGAACTGCCCGGTCCTGCAGATTTGCCTTGCACAACATTAGGAGGATCAGGCCCTTCCTTACAGAGCATGCCACACAACTCCTTGTCCAAGCACTTGTTTTATCCAGACTGGACTACTGTAATGCTCTCCTGGCTGGTCTTCCAGCTTGCTCTGTTAAACCTCTACAACTGATCCAGAATGCTGCAGCCAGAGTAGTCTTCAATGAGCCGAAGAGAGCACACGTCACTCCTCTCCTCACACAATTGCACTGGTTGCCAGTTGCCGCTCGCATTAAATTCAAGGCACTGACGTTTGCCTACAGAACAACCACTGGCACTGCTCCATCTTACCTAAACTCATTACTCCAGACTTATGTGCCATCCAGAAACCTGCGCTCTGCTAGCGAATGTCGTCTTGTGGTACCATCTCAAAGAGGCTCAAAATCTCTTTCTCGGACCTTTACCATGGCTGTTCCCTGTTGGTGGAATGACCTGCCTAACTCAACCAGAGCTTCTGAGTCAGTAGCCACTTTCAAGAAACTGCTGAAGACATATCTTTTTCGGCAGCACTTGATTCAGTAGAATTAACACTTTCTCTTCTCTTCTATTCTATATAAAAAAAAAAAAAAAAAAAACCTGCACTAAAATTGAACTGAGAGGGGTTATAGCACTTACGTATTGTTGTCCTACTGTTAGTTTAACTGCTTCTATTGTTCTCATTTGTAAGTCGCTTTGGATAAAAGCGTCTGCTAAATGAATAAATGTAAATGTAAATGTAAATGGAGGAGGGGTTCAGAGGAACTTCAGGACCAGCTTACAGCAAACAAACAACCAGACTTTTAAATGTTGAGCAAGCGATCTCATTGGCTGCAGGATCAGCAGAGGCCAATCAGCTTGTGCCATGCAGTAATGATGTGATTGCTTGCAGATTGCATGTAAAAGACCATCAGCCTGCGCCCTCTAGAGTTTCATGACTGATGTGTTTTGCAGATGCGTGTACGAACCATCCTGGAGTTCCTGTGTTTCATGATGCTCTGAAGGTGAGTGTCTGAAGATCGTGGATATATTAAGTATTTATTCTTTTCATTCTAGGCCCTGTTTACATCTGGTATTAAGATGTGTTTTGGTCGATCGGATCACAAGTGGATGAGGGAGACACACACCCGTTTACACCTGATGTTTTAATCCGTCACTTTTGTCCTCTTTAAACCACTTCTGTCCTGATGTCTTTGAGGTGAGGGTCTATAGGCGGGGGAAATATATTGGCTTTTTCAGATCTTTCACATTTGACCACATGAATGTTTACACTACGAAAGCAATCCGGTCAAATGCGTTTTCAACTACCTCTAGAAGTGATCGAAAGTGAACAAGCTCAAAACCCCGTTTACACGTGTATTTAGTGTCGTCCACTTGTGACCAAAATGCATCTTAATACCAGCTGTAAACGTGGCTATAGTGCCCGTATTGCAGAATTGCATAATTGCAACTTAAGTGCACATTGCTTTTATTTTGTACTGTTTACTGGTACTTATTGATGTCATTCTTCTGAGAAATGTTTTTGTATTGTTCTGGGTGCAATAATGCATGTTTTTCCTTTAAAAGACATTCTAACAAACCCTCTTTCTTTCTTTATCTCTTGCTTTCTTCAGGGTTGGTTGTGTTGTAAGAGACGCACAACAGATTTCTCGGATTTTCTTAGTATTGCAGGAAGTGTCTCATTCTCAGATCTCAGCAGAACATCTTACACGCAAATAAATGTGTTTTTGTGTTGGATGGTGTCTAAATACGCATGCTGCTTCAGAAGAAAAGAAACAGAACAATTTTTGTTGCCATTGTCCAGTGTGGGGATGTTATTTATTAATTGTCTGTACTTTTGTTGTCTGATGAATGATTTTTTCGGCAGCTGAAAATCCGTCTGATCTTTGAGGGAGAAAAAGAGTTTGAGCTGAAGATGAGCCTGTGGGGGGTGAGTTTCAGTATCCATCCATTATCTGCGTCAAAACACATTTAGTGTCTTTGAGATAACATTATTGATTTATTCATATCTTGAGCTAGCTTTTATTTTTTATATTTTGAATTTTAATTTGAGTTAATTTTGTAGGTATGTTTTTGTTAGTTTTGGATTTTTTTTATTAGTTTACTTTTTATTTCAGTTTTAGTTTGATATTTTAGTACTTCAAATTAAACTAAAATGTTGCAGAAATTACTGAAATAAAATAAGTTAAAAATGTTGTAATGTTTATATTTCATTTTCAGTCAGCACATCATGACTGTTCTTGCTTTACACTCTAATCACTTTAGATGTGAATGAACATGAAGCTGTGAGGGATAGAAGTACATTTACACCATCTTTATATTAATATTATCATAATATTAAAACTTTATCAAAATATAGTAAATATCAAACTAATGCATCCAAATATCTAACTAACTATATCTCTTGGAGCTGCTGCAATTTTGGTTATTTTTGTATAACATTACAGTCAACAGTCAACTAGTAATGTTACCAGTTGGTTTTATTAATCAGGAACTCGTAATTACGGTAATTCTAATATAACATCAATGAAGCATCATTTTTTCTTTTTGTCCCCCCTGCATATTATTTTTTTTCACTTAATTTATTGAAATGCTAATTTCATTAGGTAAACAATTAGTTTAATATCTCTCACAGCCTTGTTTTCATTGGTGTCAGATTCAATATGGCATATTAAGTCTTTCTAAAATTTCGATATGGCAATAACAGATTTGGTCCAGTAATTCTAGCTTTACTGTCGAGGTTTAAGCCGGGTCCAAAGAATGCGCATCAAAATATCTAACAAATTTTAAAAAAAAGTTATGTCTATACTTATGATATTTCCTCTTCTGTTAGTGCTGTCAACATTTATACAAGCAAATATACTCGTTGTTGCCTTTTTGTTGTTTTATCATTCCATGTTGTTTCTGATGATTTACAGCCTTAATATTCATTCACATTCGCATCCTCTCAGCTGAGTTTAAGTTTAAGTCTCAATTTAGCTTGGATTAGGTTTGCTTGTGTCATGGATTGGAAGATAGAAATAGACTAATGAAATATTAATGTGGATCTATTGTTTGAGACTCTATCATGTTACTGTAAACATTAAACTATTGTACTGTACTCTCAAATGTTCTTCAGGAGATTTTTACAAAATTTAATTTTCAAATTGCATGCATTCTCTATATTTTATTTTTGTAAAACAGTGCTTTATTAGGAAGAACTTCTCTGGAAATTGTTTATAAAACCATCCCATTGTCACATTAATGTTTTATATATTTGATAAGTGATATATATATATATATATATATTAGGGCTGTCAAATGATTAATCGTGATTAATCACATCCAAAATAAAAGTTTTTTTTACATAATATATGTGGGTGCACTGTGTATAATTATTTAATATATATAAATACACACACATGCTTGTATATATTTAAGAAATATTTTCATGTATATACTGTATATAGATTTATATATAATTTATATTATATATAAATATAAATATTTTATATATAAATAATATTTTTTCTTAAATATACATGCATGTGTGTGTATTTATATATATACAAAATAATTATACACAGTGCACCCACATATATTATGTAAAAAAAACTTTTATTTTGGATGTGATTAATCGTGATTAATCATTTGACAGCCCTAATATATATATGACAATGAAAATATCTCAGGTATTGTTTATGTGCTTTACTTAATGTTAAAAGCGTCTAATGAGTGTTTGAATATCAGTTTGGGTGACCTTTATACACACACTGACAGCTGGATAACAGAATGGATAATCAGAAGAACTGATAAGAATGTAAATGTGTAGCTTGAAATGCAATGCAAGTCGCTTTGGATAAAAGCGTCTGCCAAATGCATAAATGTAAATGTAATAATTCACCTCAGATCCTGAAAATAAAACGAAGAAGAACGTCAGCTCTGTGTGATCAAACAAGTCTGTTCTATGACAATGTATTTTCAATAATGTTTAAGTAGTGGTATATTTATGAATTTGATTAAGTATTTGTCCATTTTGCTTGCAGACACTCCGCCCACAAGCTCTTCTGATTGGCTGTGACTCGAGATTGATTTTGTCGCGTTGAACCTGATCGTATCGGCTCTGATTTCACAATGAATTCAAGGTCAGAAACGTTTTATTGGCAATTTTTATCATTTTAGATATGTAAGAATAGTTTTACAAATAATTATCTCAAATGTCACAATTTATGCAAGATTTACAAGCAACAAAAAATATTTGCTTTTACAATTTACAATGTAAGTCAATAGAAATGTTCAACTTTATGACATTGTACAGTACACTTCATCAAATATAACACTATAAAACCTGTAAAATATGTCGGTAATTGCCTATTGGTTCTAGATCAGGGTTGTAGACAGTAACATTACAGTCAACCCTAACTGAATAAGATTGTGTACTAAATTAAAGAAACTAATGCCTGCGAATCTCTTTGGATGAAAGAAATCTGCTAATTATTGACGATCTATCGGCTCGCTCGAGATAAAACATTGACATGTGAACTAACTATTCTGCTGACATGTTGTATTTGTGCATCAATAACATGTTTTGAAAAGCAGATTTAAAGGAAGTCTGTCTATCCGACGACCGGCTTTAGCGTCCCGGCGGCTGCGTTGACGGTGAAGGCAGAGATGCTGATTTGGCGTTCGACCTCGTCCCAGGCCTTCTGCGGGTTCACTGCATTCTCAATGTCGAACAAAGCGTCATAAATCCCTGGGAAAGACTCGCCTGCGTATTTATTGTGACTGCTGGGAGCAAAAATGATATGCCTGGAAGAAACGAACGAGACAAAGACAAACATGTTGTTTGTGCATGTACCAAAAACATCTAATCAGACACAGGTAACACTTAAACTGATCCAAAAAACACTGTTGAGTGGTTATTACCTTCTTAATGGAAGTACAGGTTATGCTAAATTTGGCATTTGATAGTGCATTGTGGGTAGGAGCGAACAACACCAAGAAAAAGCCGTTCTTTAGAGCTCTAATACTGCAAAACGTGTGATTGTTTCTGTTTTTAGACTTGAACCACTAATCCTAAGTATTAAACTTGAGTTCTGAACTTCACTATGTAATGATAGATGGTGCTTTACCTGTAAAATGGTCTTCCAGGCAAACCCAACGGATCAATGAAAGCTCTCTCTAAATACATCAGCTGATCATTTACCATCCGCACATCCAGGGCACTAAGAGACAGATAAAGATAAGGTAACAGGTGCAATGTGTCATGAGTGACACAGGAACACGTCATCATATGACAGGCCATGAGACACTTAATACAACACCTAACCTGTGCGTAAACTCAAACCTAGCATTTCAGTGCTGAAGACTGCTGTTGTTTTGTCATTCGTACTTAGAAGTGTCGAGCTGATCAAGACGCTGATGAAAGTCTCGCGCTGCGACCGTGAAGTTCTCGACTGCTGAGAAGAGAGAATCTAGAAACACGATAAAGAAAGAGGTTGACTGTCAGGAAGCAAGATAATTCAAGAGCTTTGCATTTGACATGGAAATAACTGCATGTGGAGAGATGGGATGCATCCAAATTCTTATACTCGTATCAATGGCACACTTTTTTTTTACGTGCTACACTCTTAAAAAATTAAAGGTTATAAAAGACTGTTTTTGCAGCGATGGCACAGAAGAACCAGTTTTGGTTCTTCAAAGAAACTTTCAGTGATCAGGTCTTAAAGGGGACTTATTATGTCCTTTTCACATTCTTGGTTTTGTTTTTGGCTCTACTAAAATAGGTTTTCATGCGTGAATGTTCATAAAACATAATTTTCTCATATTCTCCATTGTTGCAGCTCCTCTCTTTCTCAGTCTGTCAGTAACACTCTGTTTAGTTCCTGTCTCTGTGAAGCCCCTCCTTCTGAAAAGCACACTGTGCTCTGATTGGTCGGTTGGAGGACCAGTGTGTTGTGATTGGTCAAGTGTGTTTGGGAAATGTCCCTCCCTTTACCATAACCACCAGTTTCAACACACTACTAACTAACTCAACCAGGCCCAAACAGCATTATTACACACTAAAGAAAGATGAACATGGGGAAAAAAAGCATAATATTTCCTCTTTAAAAAAAATAAAATATTTTTGATTGTGAATAACATTTGAATCATCTTAAGAAACGTTTTCCACCATAAAGATTATTTTGTGTAATGGAAAGATTACATGGATGTTAAAGTTGCTTCATGGAACTCAATGCCAATAAAGAGCCTTTATTTTTCAGAAGCCGTGTTTCCAGCGCAGGAACTTTCCCCAGGAACTGAGGACTTTGGGTGTTAGTCGGTGTGTTTCGACTGCAGGAACAGGGTCTAAATAAAGTTCTGGGTAAATATTTCCCCCTCAGAAAGTCCCTGCTCGCGAGGTAGTACTTTTTCAAAGTTCAGGAACTTTAGGGGTTGGTTTTGGGCGCTGAACATGCGTATTGGTTGAGTTCACGCAGCATTTTGATTGGTTGACTCCACGCACCATTTTATTTCAATCACCGTTTTTAAAAGTCTGTTGCGGTGCGTGCAGTAACAGTTGTTTGCTATTTGAATCAACACACAAGTTTTAAAAATACAACCGATGGACCGACGACGAGGTTCAGGCTTTATTAAGCTTAAATTCAGAGGATGAAATCCAACGGGAGCGGTAAAGTCGCGCAAAGTCCTACATCACCGAACTAATTTGCCTGATTTTCACGGTACTCTAGACCGCGGTGGACACGCAGACAGCAACAGGTCTGGGTAATTTCGGTGGAAACGCGGCTAGAGTGCATGATTTGAACATACTAATCTTGCATATTAAATGATGGATAGTGTGTGTACCGAATGAGATGCCGAACTGCTGCATGGCGGCAGGATGCTTCAGCGCTAGCTGGTGAATGCTGTTAGCGTATTTGCTGAGAGACGAGGCGTATTCTGTACAGTCCAGAGGTAAGATCAGAGAATCAGCCAAACTGAAGATCAGTCCACCTCGAACACGGGACACCGCCTCCAGCCGCCGGAAACTCGGGTCGTAGAAGCGCTCCACGATCTCATAGGTCTCGTACACGCTGTGGTAAACCGGGTAACTGCTGTAGCGCTCGGTTTTCTGGGGGAAAGGTGGTACAAAACTATTTAAATGCTGCACATTTAAAGTCTATTTTGCGTAGATGTAAACACTGACAGGACTTACAAAAATACAGTGTTGCACACAAACACACTCACCCGGTTTTTGGTGTATCTCGCCCTTCCAGACGCAATCCCTAATCTGATGAAATACGCTTCAAAATCACTTCCAGAGCCCAGTTTACTGATCCTGCAGGGACAACACACACATTTGAGATGCATGTCATGGATCTCCAATATCTATAATCAATCAGATGGTCTTATAGATGATGATGATCACGTCAGGACCATGGTGCGTCTCTGTCTGTGGAGTTGTCTCGCTTGTGCCAGCTCTCGTACAGACTCATGCCCTCCTCTCCTTCCTCTGGACTCAAAACCTTCAGAAACATCACTTATTTACACTATCACATATTAACATCACTTGCATTTATATAGTGAGAAATGTTGATAACAGTAAAACAGAATGATTGAACAATAGACAGATAGACAGTAAAATACAAAGACAGATCTTAATGAACTTTTCTAAACCGAATCTCACCTTCTTGGTGATGTCATAAACAAGAGTGTGTAGGGAGGGGGTGCAGTCGACCCTCAGTGTGTACATACCTACACACACACACACACACACACACAATTATGAGTGTATCTCTGTTCTGTAGAAGCAGTGTTAATCTCATTTTACAATTTAAGTCTCTTGTTCAGATACTGTGTGTGTGTGTGTGTGTGTGTGTGTGTGTGTGTGTGTGTGTGTGTGTGTCACTACCCTCGATAGCAGAGTCTGCGTTGATGTAGGCCACGGCTCGCTCCTGCAGGACTCGGGCTTTATCCTGCAAACACACAGAAGAGCAAGAACACACAGCTTTCAGCAAACTGAGATACAGGGAGAGTACATGCATGCAGTTATTTCATTCATTCATTCACTGTATTCACTGATTCTTTTGTTTAATCAAGAGTTCATTTTTGCATTCAACGGTTCATTAATTTATTCATTTGTACAAGTCAAATCAAGTCACCTTCATTTATATAGCGCTTTTAACAATATAGATTGTTTCAAAGCAGCTTTACAGTGATAATAGGACATTAAAGTAACAGAGATTGTTTTGGCTTTACAGCAGCTCTAGAATAAAGTTATTGTCCAGCTAAAGTTAGTTTTGACAGATTCAGTTGCAAAGATCATTATTAACTTAGATATTATTAACTTAATATAACACGACACCGATCTAACATGCAACAGGACACTCATTCATTCATTCACTCATTCAGTTGGTATTCATGCATTTTTAGTTAATGCTTTTTTTTGTTCATTCATTTGTGCATTTTTTTCATATATTCAACGATTCATTCAGGCATTTTCCCATTAAATCAATCGTTCATTTATTTCATCATTAGTTACATTTTCTATGCATTCAATCAATTAAAATACATTGATTCATGTATCCAGTCCCTCATTTGTTCCTTCTTTCCTTCATTTACTCGTACCTCAGCCCATTCTGTGGATCCCAGCAGACCAAACTCTTCTGCATCCCAACTGGCGAAGATCAGCGTTCTCCTCGGCCTCCAGCCTGAAACACACACACACACACACACACACACACACACACAAACGGTCATTACGAAAAGAAACTGAGAACAAAATAAGTGTCCTGTTTAAATGACATTAAACTGGACGGTGAGATGACACACACACACACACACACACACACACACACACCTCTCTTCATGAGTTTTCCAGCCGCTCTCACGTTCTCGTGCACCACAGCGGCTCCTGACACGGGATCAATCCCTCCGAAAACCCAAGCGTCACGATGGCCGCCCAGAATCACGTACCTGTCTGAACACACAGAGCCACACTCAACTAGATCGTATAAAATAAAGCTACGCAAACTCTCAAACAGAGTAACTCAACTCCAAAAATAAAGCCAGATAATGTAATGTCACCTGGCTCCACGGCTCCTCGGATCCAGCCAA